ACTTCTATGTTTCGGCAACGCAATCACTCCTTCGTAGTACGATCAACGTGGATTGCAGCATTGCTGTTGAAAAATATATAGAAAGACAAGACAGCTTTAAGAATGGCAACAGCCCTTGTAGGATATCCTGGTAATCCCTGAAGTCTATTCTGAAGATCACGAATGGGACATCCACCACACCATACCTAAACCTTCAACTCAAAAATTACAACGGCTAAAATATATGATGCGCTCTTTCGCAAAACACGATAGTAACAATTACAATTGTAACCGACGAATTAAACTTCTTTCCACTTACAAATACGACCTGAACGAGAATATATGGCTGTATGGCTAGTAAGCATTACAGACTTGCCTTTGTCCAGTCTCTTCCCAAATATAACTTGGCAAATTGGGGTTGTGCTCTTCTGTGATGGTCGGTAAGCCTCGAAGCCCTATTTATTGCTGCTATGACAATCGTGCTGCTTCTTTTCGCGAACCGCCATACAGTGGTTCTCGACACCGAGAGATCCAAATCCAATCGAATATGGCTCAGCGACAATGTACTGTTCGAAATGGCTCTTGGAATTTCTCTTTCGTCGTTGGCAAACACCTTGCGTGGGCTTTCTGTTACTGAGCTTTGTATCACGAATAAATTGCATTTGTGCTTTTTCTTTTGAGGAGGGATGACGACCACGAGGCATGGCGGATATAGCTTTTAGACACAGTTCCTACTATAAAGATGACCTTATATTAGTGAAACGAAGCAAAAATCAAAGTTGCCCATAAAATTGTTAAGATAAGAGCTGACTAAATTGAAATTCGTATGGGGATTATTTTAGGTATCCCGGTGATTCCAATTTACTTCAACGTACGTCGATGGTATCTCCATCGCCACCGCCGTAATCCATCACCGTCGTAAACGAGTGTAATTCAATGAACCCTCCTTCTTGGAGCATATTATTCGCTTATTCGCCTCTGTTCAGAGTTCTATCCGAGTAGTATGGCAAGTGGACATTGGACCAGCCTCGCGTTTGTTCGACCTCGCTCATAATTCAGTAGGTAACATCACTAATCCAATGATTGTGACGGAAACGCATGACGTGTCTGCCCAATCTGACCCCGACCACTTGATTCGGGTAATACCGTCACTAATATGTACTCTAAGCGTGAGTAAAGGCAGAATATCTTAAAAACTAAATAATTTGGCGGGGCTTAGTGGTCTCTATCTTCTTTACATGTTTTAATGCTTCCGAGCGTTTGCCTCAGTTCAGCTTCGGAGATAGGCCGTTCATCATGTTGAAGTCAAGATGCACGTAGCGGAGCTGAAGCATTTAGTGATATTGGTTACGTTGAGCGTCAAAGAAGCCTCAGGTGTTTGTTTGCTTCTCATGGACATCGTCGTGGGCAAGGTTCTGTCGCGAGACAATCTTTTCACAAAAGTTGTCAAATACGGCCAGCACTCGTTCCTGCACAAGGCATACGCAAGTAGAAGAAGCGCAAGCACAATTAGTCGACATTCACTCTCATGTCTACCCGATCTATGTGGCGCATGAGTTCAGGGTGGCCTATTCATAGGAGTTTCAATGAGATGATATCGCTCTGTCGAACCTCCTTCTTCATGTAGGTGATCCTCCTTTTGGAATGGTTAGGTTGTCATCGGTAAGCTCCACTTAGTTCACGTCTCATTTCTCATACAGCAACGCAACATAGTATTGCTCCTCCCCAGAAAAAGACAACTGATCCTTGGCGCCTACATTCTGCCACGTGCCAAGGGAATAATAGTGTTGGGGTTTTGATGTTAACTGACAGAACACTATCCAGATTCTGCGGAACAACTTTGGTTGTTGGAACCGGATGCCATAATAATACTTCGTCAAGTACCATGTTGGACTCCAAAATGGAGAAATTAAGATTAGGATTAGTTCCGGATGATATGTATTTCCAACCTCAACTTCCGTCTAAGCACCAATCCCTATAGTGCTTCTTAATCCTTCTTCTTTTGCGTATCCTGCAAGCACCAATCCCTATAGTGCTTCTTAATCCTTCTTCTTTTGCGTATCCTGCCATGGCCGTGATATATTACCAGTTCTTTTCAAGTTGGGTCCACCCAACGCCGTCTTACTGGTGGATCTCCCAAGTTGGAGGAGTAGAAATCATTCATATGGCTGCTTCCAGCGCATATATACACACGAGTAGCTTTCCAGGTTGTGGCCAAGGGCTGGCCATACTTTGAGGAGCTAGCCGCACCATGGAAGGGTATGCAAGGGTATAACTTATAAGAGGCGTGACCCGCGTGGCCTTCATCTTACTTCCCATTCGATAGAAAGCAAGTTTTTGTCTAATCCGATGTGCGAGATATCAACAACACTCTCAGTTTCTCTATACAAGCGTGCAGGATTACACGTGCGAGAGCATAGAAGGTAAAAATCTACTCAACCCAGCAGAAAAGTGGACTCCTCCCCCTAAATCCACCTGCTTCTACGGGCATACATCAATGACGTCCGGCCTCAGAGGGTGTCATGACTCTTCCTCATGATTAGGAAGGAGCACATGTCCCATTGTGGTCTCGGGCAAGGTCCTAAATGATGGGTTCTCGGAAGCCTGCGACCAATTACAAAGCAGCTGTACCATCCAGCAAAGGTTATGTAGTAATCCCTGGGTTACCACTTCTTTGGGCTCCATGATTTGAGTCTCGAGTACAGTTTTTTGGTCTTTTGTCAATTCATTATTCGTGTCATAGCTCATGTTTAATCATGATTTGATCTCAAGCAACCCAGCCACTGTGATAGCCTCCCAACGTCAAACAAGCAGCTAATGCCGAGTAACAAAACGATCTGATCGAAGAGAACCTCTCAGTCTTTGAGATGAGAGCACGCTACGGTTGTACAGCCATCTGGATGGTTTTTTCCGATGTATGCCTGTTGAGTGTGCACCAATATGTCGTTGTAATGATTCTTTGAATTGTCGCTGGCAGTGAACCATGAAAGAAGCGAACGACATCTTAAGGCTCTGGTGAAATGCCCAAGCATGCCAGAAACCGATTTTGTCACTTGTCTTCTTTAAGAATATCGTTTGCCACGTCGTTCACCAGTGGCTTTTATTAATCCAATAAAACATGCTCACCAGGAAAACTTTCACAAAGTTCATGAGCCATAAAGATTTCCGCGGCAGAATAAGTTTGACATAATTTCTTGTTCTCACAAGCATGAAGCGGCCTATAATGCCTTTTTTCGAATTATAGCACTAAAATGAATAGAAAATACCGAGAAATCAGGACTATATATAGCTGCCAAGAAACAGCCCCTCCATCAGCTCTTACAGGCCTTCTTCTCCCAGGCGACCTAAAATCCACTTCAATGATTGACCGTTTCAGGATGTTTTCCATCGCCGTCTTGTTTGCAATCATCGCAGCTGCTCTGGGACAAATAGTGGTCCAGACACCTCTAGGTATGTCAAGCAAATAAGTTGAATAAATGGAGCATGGGACTTACTACACCGATTGTTGTAGGTGTTTCCAAATTAGAAAAAAATCAATAGATAACTTGACACTAACTGCATCCGTTAATTGTACATAGGCGTTCCCTGTTTTGGAATTAATTGGGCTAGTCACACAACAGAAAATTTTCACGACAAATCAACCTTGCCAATAGTAATCAACTGTTAATCCGCAACAGAATTCAGTTTTGTACATCAATAGGTGAAAATTTAAAGAGGCTCTAATCAAATAAATCGACACTAACCATGCTACCTATTATTAATGGATTGAGTTTCCTTCACTATTTAGAAATAGCAGAAATGTAATTTAATATATACTGATTTCAGGAAGCCCTCTGCTTCCCCTTGGTCCAGGTCCTGTGGTAGTGCAAGGTAACTTATCTGAAAAAATTCAAGGGGTTATAATGAAAGCAGCTGAAATCGTATGTAGTTGTGAAAGTCTCCATTTGTAGGGAGAAATCTGTCATGTTACCTATTTTTGATGGATAGGGTTTCCTTCACTACCTAGAAATTGGAGAATGGTGATGTAAAACATCTTTTCAGGAAACAATCCTCTTCCCCTTGGACCAGGTCCTGTGGTAGTGCAAGGTAATTTATGTGAATCAGTTTGAGGCATTAAAGTGTGAGAGGCTAAAATTGTGTGTAAAGAGTGTCTCAAAAGTACGGGTGCTCGTTTGAATTTGTAACTTCTAAGCTGAGAATAACAATGGAATCTACATATATGCACGTCTGCTTACATCATGCACAATAAGTAGCTGCAATCACACTCCCAAATATAAACAGTTAACGGAAATTTACTATAGAATTCCCTGCATGTGGAACGGGGGCTGGAGCACGTCCTGCTCGAAAGACCACTCGCTGTTTAAGACAGCGTAGTCGAACCAAGGCTTCAGGGCATACATCAATATGTTCTTGTAACGAA